TTTCTCTCACATGGATGTTTCCCTCTGTCTGTCCCTCTCTCCTCCACTCTCCCTAAAACCAGTGGGAAAATACCCCTGGGTGAGGGCTGTATACATCCATAGTGTCATCTGCTGACTTTTACTGACAGTGCAGGGGAGTGGAAGCCATTTTTAAAACTCTCTGAAGACGATCATGCTGGCTAGCCCTGCACGTGGCTTCATGTGACGTACATTCCGGCGGCTTTGCGTCAACAGCGAGATGTTTACTTTTCTCCCTTAAAACACACGTGTGGCGTTTGGCGCTCAGGGCTGGCCCGTCCGCACTTCCTCCGGGAGGCCCGTCCAGCCTCCTGCTCACAGGGGCCATCTGTCCTCAGGCTCAGAAACGCCGAGTCACCGTCAGGCCACAGGGAGGGACTTGGCAAGGCAGAGCCCGGCTGGGGGTCAGCTTCCACCCCACACGGCCTCAGGCCTGGCCGGAGACCCCCCCCACGGCCACACTGGCCAGAGGGGCCCCACACCAGAACGGGGCCCGCGGGCTGGGAGGGGCCCATTTCTACTCCCACCAGATGGAGATTCTCTTCGCGGAGGACACACGGATCCTGGACAGGCCACGGCCGCTGCCGGCCAAGGAGGAGAGGGTGCCCCTCACTGCTCTTCCCGGGAGAGGCCGGTCCGGCTGGCAGGCGGCCTTCCTGTCCTCACAGTTCCCCCAGCATCTCCCGTCCCGATGGCGTCTCCTCCGCCCGGCGCCCCCTCCCCGTGCGAGTCTCACCTGCACCTACCACCATCCACGGAAATGCTAGCGTGGGTCCCCTCCCCTGAGACGCTGACCCAATTCCCCTTCCATTCCAGCTCCCAGGGGAGGCTAATTGGCAGCCCCGGGGGATGGCAGCCCGACCGTTTCCTCCTCATTAACCTGGCCCTCCCCACACATCTTCTGGAACATTCCACGCTCTGACCTTCACCACCAGAGAGTCTCTGACCCCATGGAATCCACAATCCCTCGGTTCACATGTTCAAAGGCTCCCTTTCCTCTTGTCCTCACTTCCCGCCGGGAGCACCTCCCATCCCTCTGTCCACACCCTCCCTCGCTTCCTAACTCCAGTTTCTCTATTTCACGCTCTGGCCAAGCCCCCTCTGGTGCCCCCGGGGGGGCCTGACCTCCGCCCTGTGCCCAGGTGCCCCATGGGCCTGACCTCCACCCTGTGCCCAGGTGCCCCATGGCCTGACCTCCACCCTGTGCCTAGGTGCCCCATGGCCTTACCTCCACCCTGTGCCCAGGTGCCCCCATGGCCTTACCTCCACCCTGTGCCCAGGTGCCCCCATGGCCTTACCTCCACCCTGTGCCCAGGTGTCCCCGGGGGGGGGGCCTTACCTCCACCCTGTGCCCAGGTGCCCCATGGGCCTTACCTCCACCCTGTGCCCAGGTGCCCTGTGGTCCTTACCTCCCGCCCTCCGTGTGCCCAGGTGCCCCCATGGCCTTACCTCCACCCTGTGCCCAGGTGTCCCCGGGGGGGGGGGGGCCTTACCTCCACCCTGTGCCCAGGTGCCCCGTGGGCCTTACCTCCCGCCCTCCGAGTGCCCTGCCTGTCCTGTCCCGCCTGCAGCTCCTATAATTTCCCTGGAGAACCTCGCAGGCCTCTCAGTTCAGCGTCCCTGGAGCCGCATCTCCAGCTGCTCCAGCACCTGCCCCTCTGCTCGCCCTTCTCGGGCCACACTGTCGGCCGAGGTCACGCAGCCCAAGGCCTTGTCGTCCGCCTGTGACCCTCATGCCTTTTGTTTTCACCCTCCCGTCCCGTCTGTCAGCCTCTCGGCCAGTTTTGCTTCCTACACGGGCCGGGCTGCGGCTCACTTTTGAAATAAAAAAAAAGAAAAGAAGAGAAAGAACAATTACTGAAGTTGTGATGAACTTTAAATATAAACCGCAAAGTGGTTCCCAAGGTCCACCTGCCCTCGCACTCAGAGGGACACCTGCGATCCCAGCCCCAGGTGAGCAGCTGGCGTGGGCCTGGCAGCGGGGCCTGGAGCGCCCCCTGGTGCTTGGGCGACGTCACTGCTCTACCTTGGACTTCCTGCTCACAAAGGGGTTTCTGTGTTTTCATGTGAAGGAGTCAGGCTTTGAGGCTGTAAGGTGTGAACCTCACACTGAATTCTGGGCTCAACCTTTTTTTAATTTTTATGTATTTTTATTGATATCAGAGAGGCGGGGAGAGGGATAGAGGTAAACACCAGTGATGACAGAGAACCATCGACCAGCTGCCTCCTGCGCACCCTAAACCAGTGATGGCGAACCTATGACACACGTGTCAGAGGTGACATGCAAACTCATTTTTTTGGTTGAATTTTCTTTGTTAAATGGCATTTAAATATATAAAATAAATATCAAAAATATAAGTCTTTGTTTTACTATGGCTGCAAATATCAAAAAATTTCTATGTGACACAGCACCAGAGTTAAGTTAGGGTTTTTCAAAACGCTGGCACACCGAGCTCAAAAGGTTCGCCATCACTGCCCTATACTGAGGATCGAGCCCACAACCCGGGCATGTGACCTCCTGGTTCATAAGTCAAAGCTCAACCACTGAGCCACACGGCCGGGCATTAAAAGACTATTGCTTGTTGCCGTGGCCACTGCAGTGGGTCCGTGCCTGCCTGTCTCAGCCGGGGGCGCTCATGTACGTGGGTCCCCGAGTCGGGTCTCCAGGTGGCCACATGGGGGGGGATACAGGAGAGCAAGTGGCACGGAAGGACCCGGATCCCAAAGTCGCACCGATGACCTCCCGTTGGGGGCGCGGACGGACAGCAAAGGGAACCCTTATTGTTGAGCCCGATGTTCTCCCCCATCCAGACCTTCAGAGACCGGTGTGGTCTCCTGTGTTATCCAGTTCGTGTTGGGGGACGCACGTCAATCCAGGCTCCAGGATGGGGCTGAGCCTTCTGCATCGGGCCTGAGGGATTCTCGGTGGAAAAACTAGTAAATAATTCAGTACGTTGAACGGTAATTAAATGTTGATGCATAAGCGCCTGCGCCAACGGGATCATGCATCCGGGTTCCAAGACGGAGCTGCTTTCACGTCACTGTGGGTTTTCATTCTTGTTAGAAGAGACGGGACCAAGTCAGTGCCCAGTGCGCCTGACACAGCTGCTCCAATGAGGAAGGAAGAAGCCGGCTTTCTCGGAGTCTCCACATTCATACCCCACTTCCTCCTCCTCTGCTCCCATTCTGCCTGATCTGGGCGAGGTCTCAGTGGGGCGATTCCATTCCGACGTCGGTGGAACACGAAGCATATTCCAGACAAGTGTCCACAGACTTGGTGAGACCAGCAGCCTTTATATCCATTAGTGATAATCTCCTTTAAAAATCCAGAGGTCAGTGAAGCAGGGGGATTGTGTGCGCCTACGACGCAATAAATACATCAGCAAACCGCAGGGGATGGGTTACTTAACAAGTGCAGCTAAGAGTTAGCTGCTTGGGAAATGTGGAGCTTACATTCTTACCTGTTACCATGCTAAACAAAGTGCATTTTCTCCGTGGAATAACACAATTTAAAGGACTCGATGCAAAAGTCAAAGGGCAAATGAAAGGAAAACCCACTTGCTCTCTTGTGTTATTACTTTAGGGTAGAAATAAAACGTTCAACTTACGTTTGTGTACCCGACTGGACAACTTTCATCTTCACTTTGATATTCCCCAAATCCTTTAGTTAAACGTGAGCTATAAAGCTTTTATCAAACCAGCTCTTAGTCGTCACTAAAGATCGTTGGTTTTTCCTGAGACGCGGTAGACCAGCTGTCTCTCCGTCGTGGGCCTCGATTCCCAGCGATCTTTGCAATATTCTTCATTCTTCCTCTTGTGTTCTGTCATGTTTAACCTTTTTTTTGTTATTTACCTGCACTTTTCCCCCACAGTTTTATTATTTCCTTCAGAGTTTGATGACCTTGTCTCCTCTCTTTCCTCCTGGTCCTGATTTGGTTTTCTGCAACGTGAAGCCTGCCATCTATTGTTTTAATAGACTCCCCTCTTGAAAGTATACTCACAAGTGTATTGATTTCCCACTAGGAACATGTTGGCATATCTATATAATAAAAGCCTAAGCAACTGTTATGGTGGAATGACCAGAATGACCGGCCGCTATGATGCGCACTGACCACCAGCGGGCAGACGCTCAGTGCAGGAGCTGCCCCCTGGTGGTCAGTGCGCTCCCACAGAGGGAAGCGCCGCTCAGCCAGAAGCCAGGGTCATGGCTGGCGAGCACAGTGGCAGGAGCCTCTCCCGCCTCCATGGCAGTGCTAAGTAAGGAGCAGTGAGCAGGCGGGTGGTAAGGACAAGGGGTTCTGGACTGCGAGAGGGTGCAGGCCGGGCTGAGGGACCCCCCTCCAGTGCACGAATTTTGTGCCTTGGGCCTCTAGTTAAGAAATGAAAGCACAAAAAATTAGGTAAGTGAATAATAATCACATTAAGTTCATGTGGACGTGTGTGCATGCGTGTTGGTGTGTGTGGTCCATGTGCGTGCGAGAGAGTTTTTATGATTTCCATGAATATAAAATTTTAAAGTGTTTATTCTACTTGCATAGCCTGTGTCAGTAGCCACAGTCAGGTCGTCAGGGATGTCTTCATAGCAGGAGACATGGACCCGAGTGGGCAGACGCACAGTCATCAGTCCCCGTCCTCTGTGGGACGCTGGGCTTCTTTCCGGCTCCTCCTCCTCATCACTTGTGTTTAGATGGACATGAACTTACAACGTATGTAAGTTACGACCGACCATCCATTTCTAGATGATGGGCTTGTTTCTCATGTTTTTTCTGACTGTGTCCTGTGTCGGGGAAATGGAATAAAAAGAAAAGCATCCGACCTGGGAAGGCTCCCCACAGAGCGGTGGAGAAGGAGAACTTGCACCGGGGAGTGGGCGTCAGGGCAGGATGAGGCGCAGTCGTGGGCGATCGCGAAGAGACGGATGGCCACGGCAGACAGAACCTCGTGCCTTATGGGGCCCTGGAGACAACCCCTCACACGTTGTCATGAGCGAGGACTTGTCGGCGCCTCTGTGGCTCCTGCAGGTCACCCTCCGTATTCTTCCTGGTGAATTACACGTCTTCCCAGGTCTGCTCGGTGCGCCTGGATCCCCCAAACATCCAGCTTCTACCTCAGCCCTGACCCTGAATTCTCCGTCCCTGCAGACTTTTTATTTACTTATTTTAATATATTTTATTAATTTCAGAGAGAAAGGGAGAGGGAGAGATAGAAACATCAGCAATGAGAGAGAATCATGGACCTGCTGCCTCCTGCACGCCCCACACTGGGGATTGAGCCTGCTACCTGGGCCTGCGCCCTGACCGGGAGTCAAACCTGGGACCCTTCAGTCTGTAGGCTGACGCTCTATCCACTGAGCCACACTGGCTAGATCCCTGCAGACGTTTAACATGTGAGGTCCCGTTATTTTAGTCCGAGAAGCTTTTCAATCCTGTGCTCCCGTCCGCTCTAGGCTCTCCCAGGTGTGTGTGTGCGAAGCCCTCCTGGAGGTCGCCTCCTCCGGCCGTTGGTCAGCTCGGTCTGCTCTCCCCTGGCTCTTCCTGGTGGAGGTCAGTTCCTGTCCTGAGTGACCACCGGGGGCAGCACCCGTGCTGGCTGGCAGCTGTGCCAGGAGCTCGCTCTCCCTCCAGGAGCCCCGGGAGGTGCCTGTGTGGTGCCCGCGCTGCACCCTCACCCTCAGTCACAGCGCCGGCCGGTCAGGAGGAACCTCGGCAGCCTCTTCCGTGTTCTGGCCCTGAGATCCCCCCGAGACCGCAGAGGCCAGGCGTGTGAGGTGTCAGGTGAGGGCGTCCTTCCCGGGGCTGTCTGGGGGCAGGAGGCCCTTGCCCACCATCCACCGATCCAAGGGCCCAGCATCGGGCCTCACTGGCCGGATCCTGGGTTTCTGGTTACTGCAGAGCTGGGCGTGTGCGGAGCCGGGCGTGTGCGGAGCCGGGCGTGTGCGGAGCCGGGCGTGTGCGGAGCTGGGCGTGTGCAGAGCTGGGGAGCTGGGCACAGGCCACCGCTGGCCCTCCCCTGGGATCCGGCAGGAGCTGGAACTGAGCAGGAAGCCCCCGGGCGCTGCCTCTGGGACGTGCAGCTGCTCAGCCTGGCCTGGTGCCCGCGTCCAAGGTGGGAGGAGGGGCAGGGTTCTGCTTAGGCGGCCGAGGCCTCCCATCCGGACCGGACTGGACCGGGGCATCCACACTGCCAGGTGGGGGCAGGGTCTCCACATCCCAGCGCGTCCCGGGGAGGCAGGGCTCAGAGCCCAGCTCCCTTCGCCTGCAGGGTCCCGACCTTGTGACCCTAACTGGGCCCAGGCTGCCTCGGGGGTGAGTAGGGGTGAGGGTGGGGTGGGGGTGAGGGTGGAGGGGCCACGGAGGCTGATTATCTGGGGAAAGACTAGGTCTCTGAGGGGGCATATGATAGAGAGAGAGAGAGAGAGAGAGAGAGAGAGAGAGAGAGAGAGAGAGGCAGAGACCGATGTACTTTTAAGGCTGGAGCTTAAAGCCACGTTCGACCACTGTCCTGAGGCCTGCGGTGTCAGGCGCTTTGGGTTAGCGTTGTGGAGGAAGAGCTCAGGCTGAGCCAGAGGCACACGGCGTGCCCCCAGAATCAGGCAGGCGTCGGATGACTGCACAGGCAGCTCCTGAAAACACGTGTCATTTTCACAACGTGATAGAACCAGCCGTGGGAGTGCGTTTACATGTTCACACACCCGCACATGCGTGTGTTCACCCTCTTTGAGGTTAAAATACAGGGAGAGAGACTGTCCACGTCTGTGTCTCCTTGAACTCGGCGTTGTCAGGACTCCACGTGTGATTCAGGAATTCTTGGGGGATTGGCGGCTGAACGCACAGCACAGGTGCCCGGCCCACGGGCTCCGTGGCTGAGCATCGACCTGGGAACCAGGAGGTCACGGTCCGATTCCCGGTCAGGGCACAGGCCCGGGTTGCGGGCTCCATCCCCAGTGGGGGGCCTGCAGGAGGCAGCCGGTCCATGATTCTCTCTCAACATTGATGCTTCTCCCTCTCCCTCCCCCTCCCACTTCCTCTCTGAAACCAACAAAAATCTGTGTATAAGAAGGAAGGCCCCAGCGGACGGTGGCCGCAGTAAAGGCTCTGATTCCCCCTCTGAAGCCGTCTTGTCTGTTCCCACTTCTCTCTCCCTAGACCAGGGGTCCTCCAACCACCGCCCGCGGGCCACATGCAAATACAAATATTGTATTTGTTCCCGTTTTGTTTTTTTACTTCAAAATAAGATATGTGCAGTGTGCATAGGAATTTGTTCATAGTTGTTTTTTTTTAAACTGTAGTCCGGCCCTCCAACGGTCTGAGGGACAGTGAACTGGCCCCCTGTTTAAAAAGTTTGAGGACCCCTGCCCTAGACTGTCCATACTGGACAGAGACTCGGTGGAAGGGGCTGGGGGGGCGGGCAGCAGGAGGTACAGTGAGGGCGTCAGGTGGGGGCATCAGGTGGGGGTGTCAATGGGGGTGTCAGGTGGGACGTCAGGTGGGGCGTCAGGTGGGGTGTCAGTGGGGGTGTCAGGTGGGGCGTCAGGTGGGGCGTCAGGTGGGGTGTCAGGTGGGGGCGTCAGGTGGGGGTGTCAGGTGGGGGGGCCACGCCCGTCCCCCACAGACGGTGTTGCTTCCATCACATCCCCTCCTCCCCACAGACCTGCACTGTGACGCCGATAGGAGGTCCCCTGGCACATATTTGCCTCCAACCAGCCCCCCTCAGTCCCAGGCTCCTCCTCAAGGATGGGACAGAGGCCCGTGGGCGTGTGGGTCACCCTGGTGTCTGGACGTCGCTGTGGGCTGCTGTCGCGCTGGCGCTGACGGATGTGACGGGGAGCCTCGCTGTGGAGGCGGTAACGGCCCTGGCAGCTGCGCTGAGGGTCCCACGCCCCGTGCAGGCAGCGGAGGGCCCTGCGGACACCGGGCCGGGGCTACGGGCCTGACTCGCATTCGATAGTAAAGCCCAGAGGGACCTGGGGGAGAGGCCCGCGGGCGCACAGGTTTGTGAGGCTTGTTCAGCCTGGAGGGAAGGAAGTGCCGCTGGCACCCCGGGGCGGGCGGGGCAGGGTTTGACCCACTGGAGCCGTGTCCGGAGGAGAGCCTGCGGGGGGCGTCGCTTTAGGGAAAGGTGAGGCTGACACCGGGGGCCTGGGACACGCGGGCGGGTCCCTAAGAAACACGGTTGTTTGATGAAAAACCGGCCTTGGCCCCTCGGGCTGCTTCTCCCAACGGCTTCTGTTTTCCTCCCCTCACAAGTGGTTTGGCCCGAGAGCAAAGTGCTCGGACAGAAGAGCACGTCCCGCCGGGGAATCGCCGGCCGCAGGCGGAGGCCGAGGGCCCGGCCAGAGCTGCTGAGCAGGCGTGTCCACATGCGTGTGCCGTGTGCACGCGACGCCGTGTGAAGAAATCCTGTGTTTTCTGAAGAGAAGGAGCGGGAGCTGGGAGTCAGACAGGCCGTGTCCTTCCTGCCGAGTCTGGGGAATCAGCTGTGAGCAAACAGGGGCCACATGCGGCCCCCACAGCGCCGGGACCGGGAGGCACCACGGGAGGGCGTGACGTGAGACTTCCCGGCCAGAGCGGGTCGCGGGGCGTCGCGTGGGGCCTCAGCCTCCCTGACAGCCAGTCTTCTCCCTAACTGAGCTGGCGTCTGTTTACAGCTTGTAAACTCGCCTTTGAATGTCGATGTCTCCTTCTCCAGACCCGGGCCCACCCTCCCCCAGAGAGAGACCACCCGGCCCTCGGCGATCTGCTCCGCGAATGCGTCCCCACGGCTGCATTGCTCACTGTGAACGCCCGTTCCCTCCCGTGCACAGGGCGTGTGCGTCCCCACGGCTGCAGCGCTCACTGTGAACACCTGTTCCCTCCCGTGCACAGGGCGTGTGCGTCCCCACGGCTGCAGCGCTCACTGTGAACGCCCGTTCCCTCCCGTGCACAGGGCGTGTGCGTCCCCACGGCTGCAGCGCTCACTGTGAACGCCCTGTTCCCTCCCGTGCACAGGGCGTGTGCGTCCCCACGGCTGCAGCGCTCACTGTGAACGCCCGTTCCCTCCCGTGCACAGGGCGTGTGCGTCCCCACGGCTGCAGCGCTCACTGTGAACGCCCGTTCCCTCCCGTGCACAGGGCGTGTGCGTCCCCACGGCTGCAGCGCTCACTGTGAACGCCCGTTCCCTCCCGTGCACAGGGCGTGTGCGTCTCTCCCTTGTACCTCATCCCAGAGGTTTCCCTGCTTTGCTTTCTCCCGCCCCTAACCTACTCCGTGGACGTTGTGTAACTAACCCCCCTTACGTCTCCTCCTTTGAGTCTAATCCTATATAATAAAAGGTTAATATGCAAATAGACCGAACCGCAGGCGACCGGCTGCTATGACGCGCACTGACCACCAGGGGGCGGATGCAGAAGCTGCCCCCTAGTGGTCAGTGCGCTCCCACAGGGGGAGCGCTGCTCAGCCAGAAGCTGGGCTCACGGCTGCAGAGCACAGCGGTGGTGGCGGGAGCCTCTCCCCCCCCTGCAGCAGCACTAAGGATGTCCAACTGACGGACACCCCCGAGGGCTCCCAGACTGCGAAAGGGCGCAGGCCGAGCTGAGGGTCAGCCCCCCCAACCACCCGCCCGCCCCCCCACCCCCCGGGCACTGGGCCTCTAGTGTTTAGAATCAGCTGCGAAACTGCCATTCTCTGAAATGTTTTCTCTACTTGTTGAGATTTTGCTTCTGTTTGTTCCAAGCTGTGCTCGTCTGTGGATGGAACGAATCATGTCAATATCATAAAACACGTAAGGACACAGTCCATGTAAAGTAGTAGAGGTCCCAGCATGCAGTACAGGCCCCTAAACATGAACCACCGTTACTAATTAATGCCACTTCCTGGAGGTAGAAATGCACTGAGCACTGGAAAATGCTTCTAAAATGGCTTTCGCATGAGCAGTATGTACAGTGCATGGATTGGGACCTATGGCCCCGCCTTAATACATTACAAGTATATTGCATTCATCAAATCGTAGTGTATGAATTCAATGATTACAAGGTAAGTGTATTATTATTGAAAACAATACAGTATTTTACAGTCTCAAAAGTTAATGCTGATCCTACCTTTACCTTTCAGATGTGACCTTGTTATTCCTTTTAAAATTAGAGATCCCAAACCATTAGGTTTTCAAAAACTCATTTCAAGTGAATGAAACAGAAAAAAAATGGAGAATAGTGAAAAATATAAAATTTATATAAAAGGCAAATTTATTAACACAAAGGACAGAAAGCAGATGACACACAGTCACGTAAGCTAAGAAAATGTAGGTACAAACTTTCGAATGAGATGATCAATTGCATCAAATTTGGAGGAAACACACAGCTACAGTATTTCCAAACGTCCTAAAACACACGGAGACGGGTTACGTGGGGACCGTGTCTGGCACCTGGAATGGCGACTGTGACAGGAGCCCAGCGCGAGGAGACCCCGTTCGGAGAGAACTTGCATGGGGGTTGTTTTGGTTGGTTGGTTAATTTTTGGTTAACAAATAAAATCAAGGCATTTTACGTTTCCGTCCTGTTTACGTTGGTAAAAACCCGAAGCCTTTATCCACGCAGCTACCACACGATTCACATCCGTACGCGACTTCTATCCAAAGCAGCCCAGACGCCGCTAAGAAGGAGACACTTCACTCCCGGCCGTCTTCAGAGCGTCCCGGTCTCAGCCCGGCTGCCTCCTGAGTGCAGTTCTGGCGAAAAGCCCTTTGCAGACGCAGCCCCTGGCGCAGACCTGCCCTTTACAAATTGTTGATTTAATCGGGGAGGAAAGGCAGGCCTCGGGCAAGAGCAGCCGGAGCCGGAGAACGGCTCCCGGAGCCGTGGCGTTGCCTTCACCCGCTGATGAAAGCCTTTTGCCCAAACCTCCGTTATGACCCAGGTGCACTCGCTGCTAAGCCGCGTTTCAATCCTCAGTGTTCAGTCTCCAGCCTTCTTACCCCGGGCCCCCGAGGGCGCTGTGGGCTCTGGACTCCGTGGATGGACCCGCATCTCCGTTAGAATAAGAACCACAGGAGCCGACTCGGTCTCTGGGAGACAGGAATGTCCGTCCCGTCCGTCCTGAGGAATGCCGGCGACAGATCACAGTCTGCAGGAGGCGACTCAGGTCAGGGCGGGAAGTCCGGCACCGCGGTGAGAAGCAAACCTCCGGACGGACCCGCAGGGGGGGCCTGTCTCCTGGGCTGCGCTCTGAGCTCCGGGGAACCACCCTCAGCGACCGGCCGGCCGGGTGGGTGGGGGCACCCCAGGTGAGAAGGCGAGTCCAGGCCCGTGGGCTCCGCTTGTAGGAAAAGGTGGGCATTGCGGCCACCTGCTAGGTGAAGCCAAAACCTCCACACGGCGCAGGCGGCATGGCTCAGGGTCGAGTGTTGACCTGTGAACCAGGAGCTCAGGGTTCAAGTCCTGGTCAGGGCTCATGCCCAGGCTGCGGGCTCCAGTGCAGGGCGTGCAGGAGGCAGCTGGTCCATGATTCTCTCATCATTGATGCCTCCATCTCTCTCTCCCTCTCCCTTCCTCTCTGAAATAAAGAAAATACTCAAGAAAAAACACTTAAAAATAAAACATTGTGGTCTCTATATAATAAAAAATAAAAAGAGGAAAAGAAAACCCTGCCCACCTACACGTACTGGCTTCGCGAGGGCACGCTGCCCGGCCTCCTCTCCGAGCGCCAGCTCCTGGGGGCCACGCGGCGGGCAGGCAGGTGGTACCTGGGGCCCCCGCTCTCCCCGGGGACGTAGGACGCGCAGGACAGGACGGCGCCCCCGGACACCAGCAGCAGCGCAGACACCCAGCCCAGGTACAGCGCCTCCCCGAGCTCGCGCTTCCGGCCGTCGTCCAGGGTGGGGTCGTAGAAGTCCCTGATGATGGAGGCGGCCACCCAGCTCACGGGCGCCAGCACCGCCACGCCCACCACCATGAACAGGACCCCGGCGGCCAGCAGGGTGGCGCCCTTGGCCTCGGCCCCGGCGCACCGGGTACAGCGCATGCCCAGCGTGGCGGCCAGCGAGGCCAGGGCGGCCAGGGCGCAGGCCGCGCACATCAGCCCGCGGGCCGCCTGCAGGTCAGCGGGCAGGGCCAGCAGCGAGTCGTAGACCTTGCACTGCAGCCGCAGGTTGGTGTGGCTGCGGCAGCTCATCCACAGCCCCTCCCACAGCGACTCGAAGACCACGATGTTGCTCCCAATGAAGGCGGACACCTTCCACTGCGGCATGATGGTCACGGCCACGGTGCCCAGCGCGCCCGCCCCGCCCAGCAGCAGGCCCACCAGCTGCAGCGCCGCACTGGCCATGGTCCTGGTCCTGGTCTGGTCCTGGTCCGGGTCTGGGTCCTGGTCTGGTCCTGGTCCTGGTCTGGTCCTTGTCCTGGTCCTGGTCCGGGTCTGGGTCCTGGTTCTGGTCAGGGTCTGGGTCCTGGTCCTGGTCCTCGTCTGGTCCTGTGCCGGGAGCAGGTCTAGAACCTAGTGACAGAACCTGGCTGGAGAACCTAGCAAGACAACATGGACACAGAACCTGGCTGGAGATCCTAAGCAGAACCTCTCTGGAGATCCAGACCAGAACTTGGCTGGAGATCCTGGCTGGAGATCCTGGCTCGGCTGCTGATCAACTGAACACTGTCTCCGTGCCCTTCCTTCTTCGCCGACTCCGTCCACACCTTTGGGGACCCCTGGACCTGCTGGGGTTGGACCCCGGCAGTCCTGGTCCTGGTCTGGTCCTTGTCCTGGTCCTGGTCTGGGTCTGGGTCCTGGTTCTGGTCCTGGTTCTGGTTCTGGTCCTGGTCTGCGCCTGGGCCCGGGCGGCTCTCCGGCTGGGCTCCTGAGCCTGAGCCCGAGAGAACAGTCTGCAGGAATGAGCTCAGAACCTGGCTTCTCACTCAGAGCTGCCTGGCTGCCTCCTGCTATTAGATTAGATCCAGTGCCGGCCGCCCGGCCTCCCTCCCCTGTGACAGGTGAACTGGCAGAGCAGGTGCAGCAGCTTTCTCGGCCAATGAGGGACGCACAGGCAGCCCGCGTGCGAGGCGGCCAGAGCTACTTGGAACCCGGACAGAAACACGCTTTGTGCTTCTCCGGTTTCCAAGAAGCCGGGAGACGGTGCTGTGCCCGTGGGCATCGTCCTGAACGTTGGCGCCGCCCTCAGGTCACCAGGAGCTGCCCCCACCGATCCCGTGACGTGAACAGGTGCCCCTGGTCCAGGCAGGTGGGAGGCCCGGCCCAGAGCGGCTGTGGCCGAGGAATAAGTGGAAGTGCTGCCTGAGAGGGCGGCCGGGCCTGTCACGGGCCTGGGGGGAAGGGCAGGGGGTGGACGGTTCTCAGACCTGGGAGCTGCGTTCTCTGGACATACAGGGTTCGAGGGGTGGGGTTAATTTTCCCACAACTTGGAGGCGGGCTGGGCCGGGGCGAAGTCACGGAACAGAACGGCCCGGGGACCGAGTACGTCGTGAAACCACAGGGTTGTCCCCTGTGGGGCCAAACATCGGTTTCTTGTGAGCCAGGAAACTCCTGGATTTAGGAGGAAAAAACTGTATAAGAAAAAAAGCCTGGCTAGGGTGGCTCAGTGGTTGAGCATTGACCTATGAACCAGGAGGCCATGGTTGGATTCCCCGTCAGGGCACAGGCCCAGGTTGCGGGCTCCATCCCCAGTGGGGGGCGTGCAGGAGGCAGCCGATCCATGATTCTCCCTCATCACTGATGTTTCTCTCTCTCTCTCTCTCTCTCTCTCTCTCTCCCTTCCTCTCTGAAATCAATACAAATATATTTTTAAAAAAGAAAAGAAAAAAGAACCTGTTGGAATTTGAATCCTGGTCTCTAAGAAAAGAACGTAGTGCAAACGTTGACAGTTTCCCGCCTGTGAAGAGAGAACCAGGGCCTGCATGACCTGCTGGAGCCGGGACTCAGCACAGTGGCTGCGGGGTTTGCAGCGGCTGCTTATGCTGCTGCTGTCTTCTTAGGCCGAAGCAACTAGAATCCTACAGATGGGACAAGAATGTGCACAAATGGCTACTATTTCTAAGTAAAATCCTTATAGGATAAGGGGCTAAAGTTGTTGAACTGCATTCTATTAGGTGCTCACGAAACCAGCCTTTAATACCAGGTCTGCAGAGGGAAGCAGACGCCCCTCAACATAGCGCAATCCGACTGTCTCGTCTTCACGCGCAGAGCGACCCGCACAGGCAGCTCCGTAACCCGCACGTCGTGTCTGGGAAGAACCCAGTGTGACCCAGAACCCGAGAAAGAGCCGCACGCTCAGGGGACCCTGTCTCCGGAGGGCGCCGCTTTCCTCCGTTGTCAGAGCAGAGCCTGATGTAAGTGTGGCCGCCGATCCCACAGCGTTCGCTTCAGCCCCGCGGACGACGTCACAAGGCCAATGCCTTCTTCCCTGTAAACGCCCCCTGCCGTTCTCTGCCCTCGATCTTGTCGTTCTTATTCCTGCAGCAGCGAATCCTGGGCCAGCACCTGCTTCTCTGAGCCTCCTGTTCGTTCTTATCACGACTTCAAATAGTTTTGCTTCTGCCAACCAGGCGGCTGCCCGTGTCTGCTGTTTTCTGGGTTGTGTTTGAGCTGTTTTCTGGGCTGGTGACAGTCCCCTGCATTTGCCTTTTAATTATTTTCCTGCTGTTGATTAGCTGCGCTTGGCTGCCCCCTGGTCCCGAGAAAGCCAGCGTGCATTTCAATAGACCCCTTTGTGTGTTGCTCCCAAAATAACGCCGCGCGTGGCTCCTGCCCTTGAACTCCTCCCTGCGTGTCCCCCACGGCGCGTCCTCCAGCCCCGTGGTCGTTAGCAAGCGGTGCCCCGTCCGCCACGCGCTGCGACGTCCCGCGACTGCGCGGCTCGGAAACGAGCGCCTCCCAGTCCAGTCGTCGCCTCCGGCTCAGTCACCTCGAGCAAAACGCCACCGTCAGGCGGTGGGAAGTGGGGGGTCAGGGCCAGGTGTGGTCTGGTCAGAGCCCCTTCCCGGGCCGCTCACGCGCTGTGCCCTCCACGGCTGCGCCGACGGGGAAGCTCTGGGGAGTTCTCTTCCTTTCCTCCTGACGACACTAATTCTGTGTCCCCATCGGCACGTCTATCTCATCGGCCTCCTGCTCTCTTCTCTGCCTGTGGCTTTCTCTCTCTTTATTTATTTGTGTTTATTGTGAGGGTATCGCAGATGTCCCCATCCCCTCCTTTTTCACTGCTGCATAGTATTCCACGGTGTAGACGCACCACAGCTTTCTGTCCACTCGTCTTCTGATGGGCACCTGGGCTGCTTCCAGATCTCAGCTGTTGTAGATTGTGCTGCTATGAACAGGGGGTGCACGCCTTCTTTCCGACTGGTGTTTGGGGATCCTTAGGGTAGATTCAGGGGGGATCATGGTACTTAACGCTCTGCCACCACTGAGCACGCATTTGTCTGGAAGAGGAGCTGAACTAGCTCAGTGCAGTGACACCGACGGCTGGTGCATCAGAGCCCTCGGCTGCTGGGGTGCAGGGGACCCCGTGTTTCCCAGGAGTTGGCGAATGACCCGTCCACTGAGGTCTTCTCAGCCACTCAGCCATTTTCCGCCTCCGGCCAAAAGCCAACAGGCAAACGAAGTTGCGCCACACTGCCCGCCACGTGGTTGTATGTGAGGTTGGGGGGCGGTGGTTGCTGGGGAAGCGGGCGTGGAGCTCTCTGAGCCCGTGAGGGGCCGTCTGTGAATGAGAACAGAGGGCCCAGCGGGGAGCGCACATGAGGTGTCGTCTCCCGAGGACAGGAGCCCGTTCTGACCAGGCGGGCGCATTCCTCCGTGACCTCGTGACCTCGTGACCTCAGGGAACCAGTGGTCCCAAGAGCTCTTCCTGCAGCTTTCCACGGAACCCACCGCAGTTCAAGTGCGAGTCCGTATACGCGAAGGAGGAGAAGAGGCAAAGCTGTGGAATCGTAGCTTCAATGTGGCAGCCTGTGCTCAACGTAGTATGCATATGTGTGTGTGTATGTATATAGTATGTTTTTATTGGTGTCAGAGAGGAAGGGAGAGGGAGAGAGAAACATCCATGATGAGAGAGAACCATGGATTGGCTGCCTCCTGCACGCCCCCCACTGGGGATGGAGCCCCCAACCCGGGCCTGTGCCCTGATGGGAAATCGAACCCTGATCTCCTGGTTCATAGGTGGACACTCAACCCCTGAGCCACCCAGCCGGGCGGTATAATATATTTTTAAAATACGACTTAGTATTACCATGTGAATCATGAAAACAATTCAGTCATTATCAAGTATGTTAACAATTAGGACTATTTAGTGATACAGTTACTGATTCCATGATTTGATCCTTATTAGAGCAGAGCTATTATCATATCAGTTTTATTAAGGAAACCGAGTCTGATTAGTAACAGGCCCGAGCCCCCCACTCCCAGCCAGGAAGGAGGGTGTGGGCTCCCCAATCTCCAGACCCGGAGGCCACACCTGACTCGGGGTGACCTGCTCCCCTTCAAGCCGCCACTGGGACCACGTAGAGGGGGTGGCGGTGAAAGCTGAGCCCCGCCCACCTCCGGAGGGAAGCGCACCCGTGGCTCTGGGGGCAGTTGGGCAGAACAAGGTGTCCACCGCCGACAGCAGAGCCCCTGTCCGTGCAGCCGTCAAAGGTGGAAACGGACGCGTGAGAGGCCACACACAGGCCACACATGCACAGACACGCGTGGACACCCACAGACACGCGTGGACATGAACAGACATGCGTCCCACTGAGCAAACATGAATGCGGAGCACACGGATGACTTTCTCTTGTGAAGGCAGAGTCGACAGGCAGGGAAAAGTAATTAACCAGGCAAACAGCTCCGCTGTGTTACTGATTAATTTACCAAACAATCACCTTCCACTACAATTTACACTCAGATTCCGTCTGCCGCAGGCGGCCAGCGTCTGCACATTTAACAGGGTTAGACGTTAAGGGCCTCACTGACACCCGCTCCCGACCTCGCGGGGAAGGAGGTTGTCGGGAGGAGCAGAGCGTGGAATTCTCGGCTCTCGGTCCCCGATGCCGGCTCCACGGCTGCGATGCTCCCTGTGAACGCCTGGCCCCTCCCGTGGGAAGGGGGTGCGTCTCTCCCTTGTATCTTATCCTAGAGCAGTGATGGCGAACCTATGACACGCGTGTCAGAGGTGACACGCGGACTCATTTTTTTGGTTGATTTTTCTTTGTTAAATGGCATTTAAATACATAAAATAAATATCAAAAATATAAGTCTTTGTTTTACTGTGGTTGCAAATATCAAACAATTTCTATATGTGATGCTGCCCCAGAGTTAAGTAAGGGTTTTTCAAAATGCTGACACGCCGAGCTCAGAAGGTTCGCCGTCGCTGGCCTAGAGGTTCCCTAGAAAGAGGTTGCTTTCTCCCGCCCCCAACGCACCCCCGTGGGCGTCACGTAACAGCACGTGCAGTGCCGGGTGGGCCTGGAATGTCGGGGGGCGGGGGGGGCTGTGTATGTGGTCATCTGACCGCCCTGCTGGACCCCTGAAACGGATACAAACAGTGTTGAATGTAAAATAGAAAGAAGACACCTGCTCTCCTCACCCCTGGGGGAAATGCCAGGACGCGTGAACATCTGTGCTTGGTAAACACTGAGGAATGTGGAGAGTGGGGCCGGCCTAAGGGAAGGAGACATTTCAAATCAAAACTAACCAGCCCCGCTGTTTTCAAGTGAAATTCCACCTCGTTTCCAAAAACAGAAAGAAAAAGGTGATGGGATAGTGAGCGCCCAGCAGAGCCCTGAGCCGTGAGGGGGCACAGGCCCGGCCTTGGAGCAGGGGCCCGTCCGGGAGGCGTTGCTGTGAGCTGGACGCGGACCGGCACCCCCCTCCGCCCCAGCATCTGTCACACACACACACACACACACACACACACACACACACACATGGCGTCGGACTCCAGTGCCCTCGGGGCCCAGGGAGGGGACAGAGACCAGCGGACGGAGGAGACCTGCAGGCTCCCAGGTGCCAGGAGCCACCGAGTCTAGCTGGTGCGGCTCCTGGGGGTGCACCCTGGGTCCTCAGAGCTTTCCCTTCCATCCATTCATTCATTCATTCATTCGTGTTAATCTTCACCCAAGGATATTTTCCCATTGAT